ATCACCCTTGCACATGAGTCCAATTCATTTTACAATTTTGAGAAACAGAGAACCATCTGTGACCAAAGTTCTGGTTCCCCTAAGATTCCCATCCCAGCAAGTAATGCTTGTTCCAGGTGTACTCCATTATGGGCTTAAACAGTACTAGGTAGTGTTTCATTTTGCCACATATTTATGGTATTAGCATCTCAGGACAGAGTGACAAAGTATCTAAGGACAGCTCTGAAGTTTTTAGTAGGGTGAGAACGGCTTTTTCTCATTCTCCCCTGAATGCCTTTGCCCACACAGAATTCACGAGCTCCAAAAGAGCTGGGCTTGTAATTTCTCTTTGAGTTCACATGGGAGAGGCATAGAAATTATGCTCCTTTATGCAGGTTAATTTCTTCTGCTGTTGAACACAGGATATCTGGACATGAAGGGAAGATGGGATCTTTCTCAAGATGTCATACTGGCTACCAAAGATGAATCAGTGTTTCCCCTTCATAAGGGGAATGGCAAGGGTCAAAATCACAAGTATTGCATCAGGACAACTTCAGTGTCCTTCACTTCTTGATAAACAAACATTCCCAAGAATGTAATGTATATGGGCAGTTTTGGCCATTGCCCATATAGAAGCGATTTGAGAAGGTTCTCTAGGAACACAAGATAGATTTTTGCAGTGTTCTGTGCATAATTTTACTTTAAGTGCTGAGGATCTGGGCATGATTAAAGAAGTTTAATGCCACATTTAAAGCAGCAGTGTAATGGGATATTTGGGACATTCTGTGGAGAGTTTCTGTGGCAGGTTTCTCTATACAGATGCTGCCTCTTTTCTTCTGTTCTTCTATGTTTTTTTTGAAGTGCTTCAGTTTCTGCCTCTGTTTATTCATGTGAAAAAGCTGAGTCCTAAGAGAGGAGAGGCTGTTTGGAAACTGAGGTGTTAGCTGTCAAAGCTGCCACACAGGGACCACCCTTAACATTGTATACTGTGGTGAGAGTGCTTCAGGTGCATGAGAAACCAGGATGTAATTTCAGTTTAATTTCTTGATCTGAGTGTCTGCAGCTGACTGCTGTTCAACAGAGCTTTCCACATTTTTACAGTAAAAAATAAAAAAAAAAAAACCAAACAGGAACTGGAGTCAAAAACCACTATTGAAATGTTATGGTAGATTTGCCTCAGCAGTTCTGATTATAACACCTTTTTTTCCAAACAGTTTTCAGCATGTCACTTTTCTACCTAAATCATTTCACTATTTCTAGTATTAAAGTATTTTACACCTACATCAATCTCAATAAGTGTAAGTAATTAAGCTAATTAAAGCGCTAAAGGCAGAGAAGAGTCAGTTCTCATGAAAATAAAAAAACAGTACTTCCATTAATGTGATGACCATTTAGTTACTGTTGGATTATAACAAACTACAAAAATCAGAAAGGACAGGTTGTTCAGCCTTTATACTTAAAAATAAGCACTTAATCTAAAATGCATGTGCTGTCCTTTCCTGGCTCAGTTTCCTATTGCCTGGATTTGGCTCTCAAAAGACATCAGATGAAAGAAGTATTATGCACAGAGAATTGGGAAGAATTTTTACCTTAGTCCTACAAACTTATCACAAGAAGTAATACAATATGATGACAAGCTTCATGTTTTTGCACATACACAATGCTCTGTTAGGGCAACGTAGATATAACCACAGAAAAACTGATAAAACACAAAAATTAAAACACAATTATAAATTTGACACTATCCCTATTAAAACACAAAAATAAATTTGACAGTATCATTAATACCCATTAACATGGCTTTCAGGAAAACAAAACAACAACTAAAAACCCAACTAAGCAAACAAAAAAAAGAGTACTTTCTAGCTGCTTTCTTTGTTTAGAATCTAGAATTCAGCTGGAGATACATGTTGTCAGTGGTATTCATCTTTATAAGAATCTTTAGGGCAATAAGAAATTATAGCTGGTATTCTGTGAATGAATAAAGACTATGAAGAATTAAGTGCTACGACAGAGTCTCCAGATATTCAGATACAACAAGAGGACAGTTATATGTAACTTTGGCTCATTTAAGCTAAGTTTGCTTTTATTCAAATGCAATTGTACATATATAATGAAGAAACATAAACATACCTGTGAAACAAGGTTGTGTAATGATTTGGGGGGGGAAAATCAAGTTATGTGCAACTCTACAATTAGGTAAGGATAATGAGACATAAGAGTGTAATGCATAAGGGTTATCAGCTTGTAACTCTAAATTCTTGGAGTTTTACCATTAAAGAATTCTCATATAGTTACAAAGTTTTTGAATAAAAGCTTTTTTCTTGTGGGCATTAGTTTAATAGTCAGGAGTATGCACTTCCAAAACAGAAGGAGAGATGACGATTGGAAAAAATACTGAAACCCCCTAGATGCAATCAGTAGAGATATGGCCAGAAGAAAAATGACATGCAATTTTCATCATTACCTGTGGCAGACAAGTGCATGCCTTGTAGAATTCCAGTGCCAGATTTTCTGCAGTGTTGGAAAGGTTGGAGAGATGGCAGAAATAGCTGTGAATTAATTACTGCATGAAAACAAAACAAAACAAAACAAACCCCACCCTTAATTCAGATTTTAAAAGTTAAGTTTTTAAAGTCACCGAAAAGAAATCTGAGTTATGTATTCATTCCAGTGGTGTCAGTATACCTTTGGGTATAACAGTGGTGATAAAAAGGCTTTTGACCCTGTGTGCAAAGGTAAAAATTAAAATACCTGAACCTGAAGCCTGAGGAACTTAGTAAACAGTAAGATGCAGATTTTAATAGGAAGCAAACTTAAACAAGTACCACTACAAAAACTCTGTAGTATTCTTTGTCCTGTGAACATGCCTCAAACAACTGAAAGACTCATTTTAGCCAAAATGTTACTTTGGTATATCTCTAGCTGTTGATCTCAATATAGCAGGAAATATTTCAAATGTGATGTAACACACAGGACAACAATCAAAGGATTTCAGCATTGAATTGGAAGGGATATAAAGAAGTTGTCTGTCACTATGTCCATCCCGATGTATAGGGTAAGAACAACTGTGCCAGAACTTATTCATGACGTAAATTTACCCTACATCTTCAACAGGGACCTCAAGGCATGGAAATTCCACTTGCACTGTTAGAAAGTGCCTCCTAACAAACGTTGCTAGCGTTTAGAAATGTTATTTATTACCTCTTCACTGTGGAAAAGAAGGGGGGAAAATATAAATTATCCCTTTCTTCACAACCAGAGACTTAGGTATTAATTTTGTTCTACCCCAATCTTATAATGTTTCCCTAAACAACCACCATTTGTTCAATATATTCAGGAATTCATGTTTTCTGGACCTCATTCTTACTTTTCTCCTTTGGGTACTCTCCAGCTGGCACACATTGACTCTGCTGTAGCCTCCTAAGTACTAAAAGAAAGGATTATTTTACTTGACTTTTGGGCTATATTTTTGAATAAAATGTTAAAAACATAAGTGGTACAAATTTAATCTTGGCATATCTTAAATTGTAAGGATCTTCTTTCCTAAGATGCATGTTCCTTAAGGCACAAACCACAAAAGAATTTGCCTGTGTAATCATCCATGTTGGGACTATCAGTATTTTGCTGTTTAAGTTACGAAGGAACAAGTTTAAAATGCACCATTTTTCGTATGTATATTGACAAGTTGGTCCAAACATCCATGAAGAAATATTTATCCATAAATTCTTGAGTGGTGTGGTAGTAAGTAGAAAAACTGTCAAGGCTTGATAATTTCACTTTGATTTCCATGTGAGATATGGAAAGGTCCATCCTAAAGTTATCAATTCCCCTATTCTTGTCCATCACAAGGACAGAATTCAAGACACCCAACAAGCTAAAAGAGCTCTTCTAATAACTTCTTGCAATTTTCAGTCTTGATATTAAACTTTAGTAAATATTTGTCGTTGTTCTGTGTTTTGAACCACTTCTTTTTCAGTGTGGTTAACATTTCCTTTACTTGACAAGATTCTAATCTCTCACAGGTGTAAACTTAAATAAAACCTACAGAAGACAAGGGGTTTCTTCTCAGCTGCAATTGATTATAACAGAACTCTGAATTTGCTTTTTTCCCTCTGTTCTCCTCCTCATTGGATTAGCCTTGATTTGTCTCTATGCAGCTGGGGACGACTCTTTTTGGGTAGATTTTAATCCACTAATGATACTTCTACAAAAAAATGCAAAAACATCGTGGCATCCAAACTCTGACTCAATTTGCTTGTGTAGAATAATTTCTCTCAAAATCAAGCCTCAGAGCAACAGTTGCTATAGTTTGGTTGTGACTTGTGCAGGGAGCATGAATTCAATGCAGCACACATGCACACCAGCTCACTCATATAAGTGTGGATTCTGTGCCTGGTGCACAACAGCAACATCAGTTCTTAAGGCTACACCTGTCAAGGGTGTAGCTTCTGTGCAGCTTCACAGACTGCCACTTTTCTAGTCTCAGCTTGCTAGAAAATTAAGTCCAGACTTCTGCAATTAGCATTAAAAATGTATTTGAAGATGTTCAGAGACCTGTACCTCTCTTTATAAAGGCAAAAATATATTTTCATCTCTCATCCCTTCCTTTAAAACTCTTTCCCTGAGCAAGAAGAAAAACTCAGCAAGACTACATCAGTCTTATGAGACTCTGCAGCTAGTCTTTTTAAGAAAATGATGGAAGTAAATTATAATTTAGTTTTAAAACACAGTTGTTAATGTGTTGGATGAACTCCAATTTTTTGTTGTTGTTGTTTTCTTCATGTCTTGGCAAAGATATTTTCAAGGCCTTGTACATGTAGAACATTCTTGAATGCAGAGTCTCCTTCTCTCTACTCTGATAAGATAATGCAATAAAAATATCTAAGAGCAGTTTCAACAAAATATACTTTCTCTGGGGTGTGCAGTACTGGTATCTTACTCAAAACTTAATCAAACACAGCAAAGTTGCTTCCTCAGATGTTTGCTTGATAATTTCAATCTGTACTCCTTTATTTCAGATCCTCAAAATGAAGTTTTGAAACAGAAAGCACCTTCCTCAGCAACACTTGTCCCACCAACACCTCCATCACACTCTGCTGTGCAGTTACCACCTCCTCCACCAGCCTCTCACCCATCCCTGCAGGTGACAGCAGCTCCCAGTCTGCCTCCCAGAAGCATCAAGCCCAACTCTGAAACAATGTGAGTAAACATAAGCTGCAGAGTCTTTATTTTCTCACCTTTCCTCTGCCTATCACTCTCCTCCTGCAGCAGCAGGCAAAGACTGCATGAGTTCCAGATTTCTGAGAGAGAGGTGTCTCACACTACTTCCCTTATCCCACCCTGTACCTGGCCTGTTTAGAATTAGCTTGTATAAATTTGAACCCTCCATCTATTCAGTTGTTTCCCTGAATTGTCTTGTAGACAATTCTTTTTGCCTTTGTTGGTGAGGGTAAGGGGAAGGGAACAGACTGATTTCTAACTTCAGAACAATCCAAAAACTTTAAACACTGATAGAAAATCAGTAGCCTAAATAGCTGAAGGTTTTCCCTGAATTTTTCTGGGCAAAGAGGGTGAGGAGGGTCAGGTCTATGACCCAATACCCCAGGAAACAGCTTTGCAATCTGGAGGAACTGAGCTCAGTGCTGATTGTGAAACTGCACCAAGGCTGTGCCATGGCCTTGTGTGATAACCCAGAGAAGCCTCTGTTGATGTGGGGCTCCTTTCTTTATCCTTCTTTGAAGAGCTGGGTACAAAAGCAGAACCTCTGCTGACAGAGTTATAAGTACTTGAGTCCAGCATCAAAACTGACCAGAACCAAGCTGATCCCGAAAAATGAGCTGCTCTCTGGCCAGCAGGTAATGCAAAGAGCATCAAACAGCAAGCAGGGAGAGTTAGGGAGGCGTGTCCAGCTCAGTGCCCTGTGACAGCCTCAGTCCTGCCTCTCAGCCGCAGTACCTGCAGCAGCTATGCTGGGTATCCTCCTCTTTACCAAGGCATGGGACCCAAGTTTGACATCAGACACCTGTGAAACGTTCCTCCAAACGCCCTGTCTGCTCTCCCATTCCAGTGTGCCCTGTAAAGTCTCCCCTCTGCTGAAAATTTGTGCCTGGATGCTGACACCTTTGCTTTCACCTGTCTCCATGCTTCCCCATCAAGCCAATTTTAGAGCAGCCCATTCTGCTTTCAAGTCCTTTTTTTGATTACACTTCTTTGATGATGACTGTCAGCCCTTGTATTCTTTCTGCTGTTATAAGGCATTATGAAGTTTAAATTCTCTGATATTATTAGTTATATTCTTGATTCAATTTCTTGTTTCTCTCATCTGAACAACATTTTAAATCTAAGAGCACCGGTGACATTTTACCTTGGGCCTAACCTTTACCCCATTGTTTCTCTTGTCCCTTGTTTAGACTTTAAGGCCAACAAGTCAAAGCCTCAGAGCTATATTTGGCATTGAGCAAAAGTCTGACGTTGTACTTCTGCACTGTGTAAGAAGCCTGCACCTGCAAAAATGGTTAAAAAGACCAACAGATTATTTCCATTCAGTCAGCCCATCTGCCTATGACATTTTTCATACCACACTCATCTAAATGGTATCTGAGAGCATCTGGCTCATTTTGATGTTTTTTACTCAGGATCAAGGTGGCCCCACCTGAAACACTGAGTTGCAGTCAGGAATAACAGTTTTGAAAATCTTATGTGTACCTAAGTAGGATATAGGGCTCCTATATGCTGTGCAGCCTTTGTATAAAATAGATAATAAAAAGCACCAGAAAAATGCTGAATAAAATGTAATCATAAAATCATCTTCATAGGTTTTACATGTCTATCTTTTCATGCTTACAGAAACCTAGACAATGAAGAAAATTATGATGATGTTGAATTTGTTTCACAGGGTAAGGTGCATACAATTTTAAACATTTTAATTAGTGGCTACTGTGAGAACATGCTGTAAGCGTGTTGTATTTATAAGATAAAAAAAAGTTAATTGTATTCAAGAGTGATTTGTGTAACTAATTATACTGGTTCTGCAGCTTTATGAGTGAAGATGGTTGTCTCATAACACTAATGGATCTACTGTTCTGTGATTAATATAACAGTCTCAGAAACTGCATTAAATTTCTTTCTTCCCCCTCTCTGCCCTCTTTTTTTTTTTTTTTTTTTTTGTTTTTGTTTTTGTTTGGTTAGAAATATGCTGGGACCATAAATCACAAGATTTTCAAACCTGAACCAAAATGAATGCTGCTCTTTTGGAGTTGACATTGTGTGGTCTGGCAAAGGAGGCACTGTTTTATACTTGATTAAAAAAAAAAAAAGATTGGTTGACTCTGCTTTTACTGTCTTTGTGGTCTGAGGCAGTGAGAAGCAGTGAGCTGTACCAGGAACAGCAGAGAAGCAGATTGTGACACAAAGAATTTCAATCTGCCTTCAGATCCCTCCTTGGTGGCACTTGGTCTGTGGCAGGCGCGCTGTGCATCATTCAGTGTGCTAGCCATCCACAACTCACAGCACTGCAGGCTGTGCAGCAGAGTGAGGAGCAGGAGATTCACACAATATCTTCTCCTGCTGCCCAGGGCAGAGGCTGGCTTAGGAAAAGAGCCTTTGGCCTACTTACTCAGCTGTTGGGCTGTGCAAGCAAGTTCTTTGAGGTCTTTTTGGATTTATTAGGATTTCTGACAATTACTGTTTCATATAAATAGTGATTCTGTAAACAAATAGCATAGGTAAATTCATCAGTGTCATCAGAGATTTTTCAAAACAGATTTTCCACTTTTAAAATACCTAGTGAAATATGCTGTTTGTAGATATTTTTGGTTTGCAGTGTTCTACAAAAGCAATCTGTAAAAACTGAATTTTGCATTCATACCTTCATCAACAAACCGGAGCCTGCATATATTTCTAGTTAACATCATTGATGTTATAGGCAATTTTAAATAGTTAATGCTAGAATGAATTCTTTTCTGTAAAAGAAAAAAAATAAATATCCTGGTTTTATTTTTTTATTCCTGTAGGTCATGGAAATATACAGAGGGTAAGTACTATCCACCAACATAAACCAGTCCTTTTTTAGCAAAAACTTAACATTTATTAAAACTTCTTAAACACATTAGAAAATTACTTGTGGATTTAATCTGGTATATTCACAGTAAGTCATAGAAGCAATTATTTGTTGTAAAGGATACAAATAAAATCAGGGAAGCAGAGTAAACTGGAACAAATGATCAAAGCTGCCTAGACACCAAAAATTGATTAAAAATAAAGAAAATGCAAAACTACACCTTCTTTTTATTTCCACTGACATTTAATTTCACTGGAATTTTCTAGAAATAATAGAAATAATTTCCCTGTTCCCTTCTAGTAATATAATATTTCAGTTAATATTTCAGTTAATCACAGATTTTTATCAGTATATTTAAGTACCTGGCTATATAAGGACTAAGACAACTGAGTTCCATTAAGATCCTTAGCATTCCAATTTAAAGAGGGCTAACCCTGACACCTTCATCAGTAGGTAGGGTAGTGAAATCATCAGCAATAATAAAGATTTACAGGGCATACTTTGCAATTAAAACATCCACTTTGGATTAAACAATGTGCTCCTGTTATTCTAACAATCCAAGGCTTCATAGGTGTGATATTGTAAAAAAAAATAACAGAAATAAAATAATAGTGCATTTGAATAATGGAGGAACTTGTTTTAGGATGAATAAAGGTATTTGCATTTTGCGATAAATGTTTTTTATATAGTTTGTATGATGCATATATAGCAGACTAAGTTTCTTCATGTCTTTCCAGTTCTACTTAGATCATTAAAAACTGATTATTTTTTCTAGGGCCAAGAAAGTGATGGAGAGATGTATGAAGACATTAATGACATTAGGTAATAATTCTAAACTCTAAAACCTATTGTATCTTTATTGCTGTCTTTTCTAATATGTGCATTTCATCTGGCACAAAAGTGTCATTCCACTGCAGTCCCTGACAGGGACTCTCTTCATTCATTTCACCTGGAGAAAGTCTGGCTGTTCACAGGTTCTTTCCCAGTTAGACCTGCCACACCCTGGTGTGGAAAAACTCCTGAAATTAAATAATGTAGTTGTGATTGAGGTAACAGAATTCTGATTTCTGAGCTAAGGAGTATATCTGAACCACTGGTTGGAATTACAGCCTAGGAGGAAGCTCAGCCCCAAGGTACTATGGTCCCAGATATGTATTTTTTTGTGGGTTTTCTTATTGCTTTTCAGATAAATGTTCTTAGAACTCCTGTGAGAGGCTGGATTGTCAATTTTCACTGTCTGAGTCAACTAGTATAGCTACAGAGACAGAATACAAGTTCTGCTTGTTCTTCTTCTATTTAGACCTTTCCTTTGATGACTCTCCTGCCCCAGTAATGTCTAAACCTATGGGATTTATTTATGGGTATTACAATAACCAAAGGAAAACTCTAATTTTCTCTGAATAAGTAATTGATGAAGAATATTTCAGGTGTATAATAATTTTCAGAAAACATTCCCTTTGATTTATAACCCAAGTGATCCTCATTTCAGACTTTTTTTTTTTAGCAATTTGAGCCTGTCTGTTTAGCAAAAATATAAAAAAAGAAAAAGAAGGGAGTCTCAGTCAGTTCCATAGGGCTTCTAAAACATAGGCCTTCCAACCAAATGACAGAAATGGAGATGTAGTCCTAATTCTACCCCAAGTTCCCAGACCCCAGTACCTTCCAGTACATGAGTCACTGCAGGCAGTGACTTCACCCTGGTGTGAAGAAATGAGTACAGAAGATTGAGACATTTGTGTAGACTGCTGGAATAGGTTGTAATCAAGTTTAAAAACACAGTCCAGTGGCAGCTCAGGCTTCAATTCAGGTTGCAACCACTAGTGGCCTGGGTAAATATTTAACAGCTGCATTCAGTACAACACCTAGACTGCTGCCAGTCATTTGTCCCAGAGACATTTGGACACACATGTGGAGCCAGTTAACCTGTTCTGGTGAATTGTCCTCATGAGGACAGACACTTTAACTTACATATCTAAAAAAGGGCTGCTTCATCTGTTGCGGCTGCATTATGGTTTGGAATCTGTAGCTTTGATTTCACTTGGAGAAGTCTTTTTTCATCGCTTTCAGTTTTTTGTCAGCCTTGGTTAAGGTAGCTCTAAGGAAGATTTGCTTCACACATTGTGTCCTGGCATTGCACTTTCAGATCATCAAGGGGAAAAGAGAAGAAGTGGGACAAAGAAGACAAAAGAAGAAGGGACCAAGAGAAGAAAGAACAAAAGGAAAAAGAAAAGAAAGAGAATGAACTGAGGAAAAAGTTCAAAGTAAGATTTTTATTTGGTAATGTGGACAAGGGTATGCAAGAAGCATTATTTAACATTGTCAAGTTCAAAATACACTTTTCACCTGGCCATGAAACTATTTGTTATGATAGGTAGTTAAAACACCTGCATAAATTCTGAATAAGGGGCTTTTTTTGTTTTGCATATATTTGAATGCAAGCTCTGCACTGACCAATGGCAAAGAGTGTGTGCTTTCACAGTTTTTATTAAATTACTTTCTCACCTTTTTTTCCTATGTAAGAAAGCCTTAAAAATATCTGGTTTCACTTTTATGTTTCTAATAGTTTATTTCATTAGAATAGCATCAAAAGCCCATAATAAAAGTGGGAATTGAATCCCATACACATTGTGTTACTTGCTTCACTGTACTCAGATACAAAATATTTAGCCCTTTAAAGATTTCAAAATTGTATTGCAACACATTGCTCTTCCCTTGGTAGAAAGAGACTTATAATTCCAGCCTAAACGAGGAGGAGGAAAATAAGGCTTGTATAGGAGAGCTACAGTCATTCTCTGGGGCTAAATGATGAGACAGTTCTTTCTCTTTTAAATAATTTTTGCATAGCTGATGGTCTGCATGCTCTCACAGTTTACAAGTCTGTCAGTCAGTTTTTCTTAGCTAATGCCCATTCACAGTTCTCCATTGTGGTACTGAAACTTTCAGTGTCACTGTACAGTGGTACCACTGTACAGTGGGCAGCTTTGTTTTTCTCATTACGCTCTGTACATAAAGCCATAATGATTCACATCATGGCCTTGGTCTGCTATGGAGAGCCCGACATGAGTTAAGAAGCAAATATTAAAGGTACACATAGTTAATAATAGTGAGTTAGATGGTGTTTATTAGGCACCAAGTCTATTTTTTATACCACTCACAAGAAGAGTACGCATTAGTGCACAGAAAGCTTTTAGCTTATAGACTGTGCTCCTGAAGCAATAAATGTATTTTATTGTTCTTAACCAAATATATTTTAGTGTACATTTTCTTTCCCATTTATTGGCCACTTACACAGGATAGATATTCCTGAGTTAGTCTATAATTGGCAAGATTAATATGCCTCTGAAATACATATCTTAAAGTCACAAATGCTAAATCCCAAAATGGCTTCTTCATAACATAACGTAAAGACCTCACAAAGTGAATACTGAACATCAATAAACAGTATGATCATCTCTTTTGCATACTTGCAAAATCATTTATGGAGTAGAATTGTAAACACAAAGCATTATGTGGCAGACTCATTAACATTAATATTTACTCATATGACTTGGGTCAGGAGTAGTGTGGCCAGCAGAATCAGTGATTGTCTGATTGTCCCCCTGTACTTGGCACTGGTGAGGCCACACGTCGAATCCCATGTCCAGTTTCAGGCCACTCACTCCAAGAATGACACTGGAATGAGTCCAGAGAAGGGCAATGGAGCTGAGGAAGGGTCTGGAGCACAAGTCCTGTGAGAAGCAGCTGAGGGAGCTGGGGGTGTTTATCCTGGAGAAAAGGAAGCTCAGGAGAGACCTTATCACTCTCTACAACTGCCTGACAGGGAGCGGTAGCCAGGTGGGCATCAGTGTCTTCTCTCAAGTAACAAGGGATAGGAAAAGAGGAAATGGACTCAAGTTGTTATAGGGGATGTTTAGTTTAGATATTAGAAAAAAATTCTTCATGGAAAGGGTTGTAAAGGATTGGAAGAGGTGCCCAGTGAAGTGGTAGAATCACTATCCATGGAGGTATTTAAAACATGTGAGGATGTGGTGCTTATGGACATGGTTTGGTTGAACTTGGTAGTGTTGTGTTAATGGCAGACACTTAATGGTCACTCAGTGACCTTAGAGGTCTTTTCCAACCTAAGACATTCTATGATTCTATGTGTAGTTTTGCTGTAAATAAATGGAGACACCCACTGGAATTAAATACATCTGTTCTATGTACTCACCAAAGGTGTCATAGGCTAATTTGTTGATTTTAATCTTAGCATTTCTGTGATTTTGCCAATCAGTTCTTCTATTGCCATGCCATTCCCTCCTCTTTATCTCTGATTTTTAATTTAAACTGTATAATTGGGGCAGGAGGAAGCCTTTCTGTTTACTTGCCTACACTAGTTTAAATGTCAATGAAACAAATAATTGTCATAGTAGAGATGGACAATGATACCTGCTTCTTCTTCCACCCACCTGTTATTGCCCACAGCTTATATTTATATGGTTAAAAGAAGGCACAGTGTTTAATTCCAATTAGTTAGTCAGTTCATTGGTAGGTAATGGTGAGTCTACACGTCAATCAAAACTTTTCTCTCTAACGATGTTTCCGTATTTGTCTCCTGGGTAAGGAACAATTTCTCACAGGTAAGACTCTTTCTCTTCACAGGTGCAATCAGCTCCCACAGGCACTGATGTGCAAACTGATTCTCATTGTTAAAATTCTCTTCTCACAGGAAATTATCAGGCTAGCTGTTAGCTATACTTAGCTGAAGTAACAAGGCTAGTTGAAGTAAGAAGGCCTGAACCACGATTTTACACGGCCTTTCTTTCATAAGGTTTAACCTATATGTGACAAATACCCATAATTGTCATTGTTTTTATTTTTTTTTCTGAATGTCTGGGAAAAACCTCCATTTTTCCACATCTTTGGTATCTTCTGTTTCTTCTTCAGTTAACAGGACCCATTGAAGTACTTCATCAGGCACGAGCTTGCATTGACCACAAGGGAGGGAAGAGTGAACTGACTGTCAAACAGGGGGATAAGATTGAAATCATTCGCCTCACAGACAACCCAGAAGGAAAGTGGCTGGGCAGGATAAAAGGATGCTGTGAGTTCTGTTTCTTCAGTGTGCTCCTGAATGTTTTCACTGCATGACAGCAAATGTGTGAGCATTATACCAAGGACTAGCCCTACCATGGCTGAGTCACTGGCCACCAATGTAAATAATTAGCCCAACTCACCCTTCTGTCTTCAGCTGGCATACAAGGCATCATAGCAGGGAGTTATTGCACAGCATAATGTGCCTGTAGGCACTGGAATAAGTTAGGCATAAATATATAATAATAAATAAATAAACAGTATGCTGGGACCTTCATTGACATACTGAGGGTTAATTCCCTGTCAGTAGCCTTCAAATACCATCAGAACTCATCTCCCTGCAAGTAACAAGTATTGCATTTTTTCATGCCTTTGAAACATAATGTGGGTGCCCTTAAAATGAAAAAGAGAATATAAGGGCCTGTTTTAAGTGTTTTCTTGTTCCTATTCCTATGGAAAGTCTCTAACTGGCTTCTAGATTTTATTTTCTCTGAAATCCAAGATGTTTCTCCTATTGTATAAATACCATCAGTGGACTTTGAGAATAAAGGCATTGATGATCTGGCTCCTGGATTATAAAATGTTGATCCATAAAATCAATCAAAATTATTAAAAGCATTTGCTTGATCTTTAGAGGGACTAAAATGACAATAAAATTAGTAATACAGTTCACATGTGTAAAATAGAGTTCTACAAAATTGTAGATTATACCAACTGAGCAGCTTGTAGTGATTGATAAATACAGATAATAAGGAACTGAGTATGTCTCATACAAAAAGAATCTGAGAGAACTGGGTCTGTCCAGCCTTCTGAAAGGAAAATTAAGGGGTATCTTATAATTGTTCATAAATACCTGGTGGGAGAATGTAAAGAAAATGGAGCCAAGCTCTTTCCAGTTATCCAGTGACAGTGCAAGCAGCAACAGCCACATACTGAAGCACATGGGTTCAGTTTGAACAGCAGAAAACACTTTTTTTACTTTGAGTGTGACCAAGCAAGGGAAAAGGTTGCTCAAAGAGGTGGTGGAGTCTCCATCTGTGGAGTTTCCAAAACCTGACACAGTCCTGGCCAACTTGCTCTAAAGGAGGATCATGCTTGTTTAGAGGCATGTTTAGAGGCAAGTTCCAATAACAGCTTTTCCGTGTTACCTTGAAATTGTGAAAATAAGTGAATTACATGGATCATTTTGTATACAGAAAGCCAAACTTTGGTGAGGGCTGGGAGAAAGGTATTTTCTAATGCATATGCAGTCAATTAATTAATTTTTCATTAATTAATTCATGCATCAGCAAAACTTGAAGCTGTATAAGGCTTGTCATTGAAGTTTCAATAATACAGACCAATTTGTTACACCAATTCTTCAGTCTTCCATGTTCATAGGCCAGATCTGTGAAGAAGACGTAACAAAAGAGGAAAATCAGTTCTTATCATTTAACTAAGAGGATAGATCAATGTCTTACATTTGAGAGGAAACATGCTAAGAACTGCAGTTGCTCAGAAGAAGGAGAGTGGTGAATTTTCCATTTTCAAAGAAATGCATGAGCACTTTTCCCCTTGGAGAAATCTATTTGTGCACTCTTCTCTATAGGCAGTATACCTGTCTAAAATTACCCTCAGGAGAGACAGAATTTCTCATCTAGGGTCAACTGCTCTAGTCAATGCATCTACAATGTGTCTGCCAACCTGAAGAAAAACAAATGCACCTGATTCCCCAATCACCTGTCAGGAACTTTGTCATGGAGTGCCCTAAAATATGCTAGAAGTCTGCAGTGGTGTTACAAATGGATGTGGGAGTCTAGATAAATCCTTGACGTTTGCCCAGGCCTCTGGCAGCAGGCAGTAACTTTAGTAAGGTGGCCAGCACCCCAATACCCTCTCTCATTTGCGAGTTCTTTAATAATGGCTGATTCAGTCTATTTTAGAATTAATTATTTATTCAATAGACATAAAACTAACAGACATAAGACTTAAACTAATACTACACAGGAATAAAAACAAAAAGAAAACAACTAATAGGTATAAATGGAACAAGGTTAAAGGTACCTATTAAAGTTACAGATAGTGAACAAATAATATAACTTATGGTTCAATGTATCTTACCATCCAATTGTTGGTGGGGCACACATTGAGATCTTTTCCCTCAATCCCCAGGGAAGCAACCACAGAACCTGTGTCTGGACTCCAGGCAGAGGTCTTCAACACTTTGAGGATGTGTGTGTGAGGCTTGCTCTGTTATAACTTGTGTGTCTTTTATAGCTCGTAAAACAGGGTCTCTTAGTCAAGAATATTTCTTTTATCTTTTCTCACATCATGTCTCTCAGCTAAGATGATGATTTGTAGCTGAGGCCTGAGCTCTTTTGGTGCCAGTGATGCCCCCTTGTTGAGCCTTTTGGTCTGTGTTATCTCTTTATGCATCAACTATCGGTGGTAGAGAAGAGCAGGGGGTAGACTTTCTGCCACAAGTGGTCCCAAAGCCAGCTGAGAAAAGGAGTCTGCCCCATGATTCCTTCACAGAAAATTCTTCTGCTGTAGCTGAAAGACAAATAAAGGTGAACTTAACCTTATGTTAACCTTAAGCTGAGGAGGGCTTAACACAGAGATCTGAGATAGATTTATTATTTGTATTTGTGTTGATAGATGAGGCTGCTTGGAATGAGACATTTCTTCGAATGTTTTCAAAAATCATACAAAACAATTTAGTCACTGTTTCTGAACCTCTTGTTAAAAGGTTCATCCCTTTATCATGACCATTGAACTGCATGGTTTCTTTTACTTAGATGGATACATTAAAACAACCGTGGTGGAGATTGATTATGATTCTTTAAAAAGAAAACAAAAACCATCGACTAGAGCTGATGTGAAACATACAGAGAGTGAACAAGAAACATATGATGATGTTGGAGAGCAGGACACTAGTAGCAGGTATGTATAAGGAATGCATGAAAAGAAACAAATGATTCACCTGGGTCAGCCTAGACAGGGGAAGTTTTACAACAAAACTCTCATTACAAAGCAGATATTTATATAAGAAATCTTTAACTTTTGTATGTAGCTATTTAGACTGATGTGGTCACAGGAGTTTAAATGAATTCTGGAATCCAGCATCTGTAAGCCCTCATACTTAGGAGGAACCCATACTATTGGAAGAGGACTTACTTCATTGAAATCCAAAAGAGAAAAACTGTAAGCCACGCAGGATTACAAATCACCTGCAGGAAGTCCAATTCTCTTCCCTCTCTCTCTCTGTCTTTACTTGCTCTGTCTTTTGGAGTCACATACTCCCTTTTCTAAGATGCAAGAACAAAAGACTCTAAAAGCAATGGAAACATTCACGGCACGAGGGAACTCCTGATCACCCACATTGCTCTCATGAGCCTTAGCATGAGTCTTTAGCTCTCCTGTTTTGACAAAAAGGAACCTCTGGAATCATGTCTAGGGTAACCCTTCAGAAAAGAGTATGGCTTTTTCATTCAACCCTGAAAACAAGGCCTCTCAAATCTCATGAGGTGGATATGAGATACACTTTTTCCACTTCATTAGAAACTTCTCTACAGCACAGTCTCCATGCATTTGCAGTGCAGTGCTACATTGCAGATTCTCTACTTCTGTGTGTCATCCTTTTCATGTCAAATAGATCTGCAGCTAGAGAAGTGACATATCCAGCAGCAGATCAGACTTGCTGGCAGGGAAATACCCTAGTGGTCTTGTCACAAGAGTCAAGACTATCACATAACCATGACAGTGGTCCTTATGTTACTAGACCTCACAGGAAATGCTTCTTACATGTGATTCCACAAACCAGTCTCCATTAAATGTCCAAATGTGGAGAAAGAGAGCCTGGGATTCAGATAAGAGATCTGCATAAGGGTGTAAAGAATTCCAATATGTAGGACAATCATCTTAAGCACTCAGCCAATATACCTCCTTTCACTGCTTCCCATGAGGCTCTTTAGCTTGGAGGCCTGCCTGGAATAAAAGGACTGCAGCTAGCTGGCTTCTAGAACCTCCCCATGAGCTCCAGCAGCAGCAGGTGGAAAAGTCTGCCTTCAGGCTTGCATTTTTCATGCAACCAATATAGTTTTGTGTCTGATATTTTTCCAGGTTGTTCAGTATCAGTTTTCCTCCCTGCACATTGTTCTCATACCAATCATATTATGACATAGCCATGAGAGTCACGTTAGTTGTTCTAGGTTTAAAGTAATCTCAGCATTAGTTACTTCATTGCAGAGGTATCTTAGGCCAATTATTTTCAGTAGTACAAGCATTAAAATTAGTCACCTCAATGCAAAGAATTTAAGAAATGTATTGAATTCAAAAGCAAACAATCACACTTACACTGTTGCATACTAAAATAACAATGTATTCCATTTAACTTTGAAGGATGAATGATTGGTCCAGATTCATTAAATCCTTTAAACTGTATTTTGGCATTTTTATCTTCTCCAGTGATTAATAACACTCTGTTCAGTTCATGTGAATGAATTGTTGGAAGGTGTGATATATATCAACATGTTTTGAAAACACTGTAGGAATGCCATTCCAAAAAAAAAAGCTCTTGACCAAATAGTATCATCCCATTATCAGTAGTATTGCTAATATTCCAAAATTAATAAATGACTAGGGGTGTTGTATTTCAGTATTTCTTGGCACAAGAGTTTAACAAATACCTTGGTTTGATGTATAATTTTAGGTAAGGCTTTGACCTGGGAATAATCTCAGCTACTATGAACCTCTCAGACTTTTTTCAACTACTGTTAGACCATTGGGCTAATATGGAATCCTTCCATATTGTTAGAAACATATATCCAGTGAAAGCTAGCCGAGCAATAAATTAACTTTTAAATTTGCCATTTCATTTCAAGATCACCTCATAAGGAATGAATCTAAAGGGTCTGGATCTACTCTTTTGTGCTCAGTCAGGTTATATTTTTATTCAGTCAAATCTGACTACATGATCTCCTGAGAGCCCCTCCAACCCAAATTATCCTATGATCCAAAGGCATATTTCGTATTTTAATTTAAAGATATCAACAGGAATATAAAATACATTCTAAATATTTTTGCCTAGGCAAATTAATAATTAAGGATTACAGAAGTGATGTGTGATCATCGTGGATTTTTTTTTTCTAAAGGATGAGTGCTTTTCTCTAAAATGCCTTTTGTTTGCTTTTCCAGTCAAAGTGGTGACCAAGATGGAGGCAGAAGTAAGTTCTACATATATTTTTAGGGGGTGGTTGTTTGTATGCATTTCTTGCCCTCACATTCTGACTTCTGCAGCTTCCACATAATGCAGTAATTATCCATCAGCAAGTTAAATGTTAGCTAAAAGGCAGCAAGCAAGGAAGGGAAAGTTAAGCAAACTTAACTTCCCCACCACCTATGGTAACTTGGGTGAGACAGAATCTTTGTGTTCAGATAATGTGAATCAACAACATGCCAGGCCAGATGGCCAAACTTTAACTTTTTACTTGTGTGTGAAGGCAAATCATCCCACAAAACAGCACAGATGTAACTGGAGAAATATCAACATGAGCAAGAGGTTTTGTACGGGAGAAATCCAGTTCTGAAATAGCCAACCCTATTATTAGTTAAATCTTTGTTTTGCTGACATAGTGAAGGGGAATTTCAGTTACAGCAGCACGCTGGAGGCCCAACTGCAGCAGCTTCATGCAGTCAAGCTGACACATTCAAACCCTGTTTCCCCTTTGTTAGTGTATATATTTGTGTGGCATTCTCTGTTAATCCCAAGAGCAAAGCTCATCTTCTCAGCTTCAAGTTTAGATGCTGGTCATGGCAGAAGCATCCCCTGGCAGTACTGAATGGAGCTTCTGCCAGCTGAGCACAGATTTCAGTGCCTACTCTGAACAGTGCCTGGAATTGAATGTGCAAACCAAACTAACCCTGCAGTGAAGGAGGTGGGACACAAAGGCCAAAGACCAAAATGGGGAGCTTACACTGCTCTTGTCTCTGACTTCTTTGGATGAAAACAAGATGTCACCTGCTGAGAGTGTTAGTCAGACATGTTCAATCATCACTTAAGTCACACAAGAAAACTTAAAAGGCATCATAAGCTCTGGGCCAAAATCATCCATTTAGAATTTCACTGACTACAGTGTAGAAGCATTTTCTTTCAGTGTCTATGATCTTGTGATTGTCAGTGCCACATTTAAATGCTGTGGATGGCATTTAAACTGGGGTAAGTCTAAATTTCTGTTTCAATAAAGGGTCTGGGCTGGCTTACAGAAAGATTCAATTTGCAAGAATATTGCATAAACTACACACACATCTGGTACGGTAAAGAAGTGTATAATGAATACCTTATTCAGCAGCACAAAATATACTTGCATTAATTCACTATTTGATCTGCTAAAGACATGTTCCCAGCTCCTCCTTCTGATCAAGACATTTATGATGGAATTGATGATGAAGATGCTATAGCTAGGTATGTTTTAATATTTTTGAAATACTTTGCTTCTTTGACAGAATGTTTTCAGTTTTCTGTGGTTTCGAATCAAGCATAACAATTAGCAGGTATAAGGATGATTAGCAAGTGGGTGTACATGAAAATGGATCCATGAAGCTAGAGAAAAGGTTTCTTCAATCTTTTGAATAAGTTTTGTTCTATAATTTTGATATGTCAGCAAAAGCAGTTTGCAATCACAAAAATCTCCCACTCTCCAACTAGACAGAATAGGTCTGAAATGAAAATAACAAATTAAAATGCTAGGTTGCTGAGTAACAGCATGAAAACAGTTAGCCACTTGATTAGTATCTGTACTACAAATACATCTCAGCAGCTACAAGTGGCCTAACATACATATTTCTAGTTTAGCATGTTAGCATTTGGGTAAGTGACTTCACTTTGGGAATTAATGATAATTATGTGCATCAATGGAGAATTTAACTGGGCCTTTTAAGAAGAACAATAAATTTTACATTGTGATAATCGCATGCATACTCCAAAGGTCTGTATCACAGGATGAAGATAAGAATGGTATCTGGCCCTGGGGAATCTTGAAGAGGCTAAAGGTCAAAGATGACAAAAAGAAAAGTGTACGAGAAAAAACAGCCAAAGTCAATGAGGCAGAAGAAAATGACAATTTGTTGTAAGAATCTGTCAGGAAATCAAAATGCACATTTACTAATTCTAATAAAGCATTGATCACATGCTACTAACATGTCCTCACAACAGCCTAATGAACCATGCATCAAATCGCAGCTCAGGATGATACTTTTCTGCAAAAACACTGAGCTTTCTTTTCACCTGCATAATTATTCTCTTAACAAGCTGTATTTGTTGCAAAAGTCTAGTAATCAAAATATACTGAATTCTTTTTATGGTGAAAGGCACCAGAATTTTTGTGCCACTGGTCATGCAAATTTGCTGCATACTCAGTTATAATTTACTTTTCTCACCAGTATAATGTAGCTGAGAGAAACTGGTAAATCTAGACCTGTTAATCAAAATTTTAGGAATAAGATGCCAAACAGAAAAATGCAAAGATTGTCTTCTATCCACCTTACCTAGAGAATAAATCAGCAGGTAGTGTTTTGGCCACATTCTTGAGTCATTTGGTTCTGAACCAGTTTACTTTAATTCAGTGATAAAAATATATTTAGTTCCTAAGTTTTGCTGGTGTCAGTGGCACTTCAAAATGTCTGGAGATTACTTGGAGCCCTTGTGTTGCAAGTTTTTTAAATTATTTAGGTTACAAAAAAGGCTATTAATGTGATATAAATACTTAATGAGCTTTTTTTTTCCTCCAGCATGTCTTCTTCAACAAAGCAGTCTGAAAAAGGTAATTAATAGCCTATTGTTCAGTCTCCATATTGATTCCTGATTCTTTTTCTGTATACATTGCTCTGTATCATGCTAGTCACAAAAATACATCCAAGGAAGGAAATAGGACTTCCTATTGCTTACCCAGTTCCAGTAAACAAATTTCAAATATTGTGACTGATCCAGCTGCACACAAGGAGATACATATACATTGCATGTTCCCTGGTAAACAATTTAATGTATTTAATGTGATTTTTCTACCTGAGATTTACACTAATCCATTTTATTTGGCATTAAATATGAACAGATACACCTGGAAAGAAGCACTCATTGAAAGACATCAAAGGTAAAGAGAAATTATTTTTTCTATTTTTACCACTTGCAGTATGTTTGTAAAAGAACATATAAGCATCAGCTCAGATGAGGAACAAAAAGCAGGTTCTTAGAATTTTTGAGTCCACTTCTGGAAATGAGTTCTAAACCTTCTATATCCTGCTGGCCATTGGAATTTTCTGGCCATTGGTTTGATGAATGGAACAATTGCATCCCCTCTACTGCTGAACATGATTAAAAATTATTCTTGGGCTAAGAATGCTCTTCACTGCTTTGGCATTACAAGATGGCCTAAAAACTAACATATCCATGATTCTTAACCACTTCTAAGCAATGTTGCATTGACCAGGGTGCTATAGAAGTTATTGAATGTGCATTAAAATCAAACTCAAAAAATATACATTAGTGCAATACTGTGAGAATTTGATTATTAACATGAAAATTAAAGGCTGTCTCTTGTCCTAAAACTTGCTTCAGCTTCAGAGGATTAGAATTTCAGTGAATATCTGTCATTATTAATAAAGAATCTTAATCTGAAAAGTTTGGGTGGAGTTGCACAGGTTGTACAAAACAGAACCCAGAGTTACCATAGACAGTAAATGGCTACAGTACTTGCCATAATTTCTCATCAATTTAGCTAAAATGCCATACATTGTAACACAATGTATTCACTTCTCAACTTTCACATAATAATGTTTCACTCTTTTGAACACTATTGTTTCAGATTATGGAGACAATGTTTATGATGATGTAGACTCCTCAGACTTCCCACCTCCACCACCTGATCCCAGGCAAGTGAAAATATTACTTCCCTGATTGGAAATCTAATACACTGGGAGACATTTTTAAAGTATGTACTAAAAGCAGATTGATACTAGTATCTGCTTTATTTGGTGTTGTCAGGTTTTGTAATTCTCATAAACCTACTGCTGATAATGGCAGTTAAATGTTATTTCCTCCATTACAAATTGAAATAATAATAAGACTATACAATAAATAAGCCTTTTTTGCATGCCAGCATATTCAGTCTCTGATAGAAAAGAGGTAAAAAGTGATGCATGGCCTAAAGGAACTTATAATTATAGATTGTAGTTCTTTTTCTATCAAAATTTGGGGACTGTTAGGATACTTTATGTCAGCTGCTGCAGTATTTTAAGAGAAAAGGAGGCAGTGCCTGTATTTAAAGTATGAAACACATATTTAGAGATGTAGGTTCACCTTGAAAGACTTTTATCCTGAGCAAGAAAAATATGGTCATCTCTGGAGCACAGTGTTATGGGCACAGTTGCATCTGTGAAGATAACTCTGTTATCTTCTGTTGTCACTTTCTCCACACAGAGGGAGTGACAGCGCACTACAATAATGTAGTCTGGAAACATAAGAGAGAGATCTTTTTGGATTGTGTATCCAAAAGAAAATGAGTGGTCTTTCTAAGCTAAATCTAAGATAGGTCACATACACACATCATCAGTGGAAGTGTCATCCTCCCGAGATCAGCAAGGATCAAAAAATAAAGTCAGACTTTACATTCCCAGGTGTGGGAACTGACAATGGTCAAAATAAGAGATTTTTAAGCTTCAGGCATTAGCTTGAGCCTGTATGAAACTACAACAAACACAGTCACACAACTTTCTCATTCTGGTCTGAGAAATCATAAAGAGGAATCCAAACAGTCCTTGGAGAGGGAAAATAACCTTTGCAGGTGTTGTATGTCGCCTTGTTGTTTTCTTGCAAGAAAGGATCAAGGGGTGTTGTTCCTAACTCTCCAATGATGGTGATGTGCTGGTTTGATGACCAATGAGAGGTTTACCTTTTCAGACCTTCTCAGAACTGTCTGTAGAAGAAGATCAAGAAGAATAAAACTTTCTCTCTTTTGAACAAAGCTAGAGAGTTTGTGTTGTCACTTTCACCATTCCTAATACAGTGTGACACCCAGGTGCATTGTCAGAAAGGGCAGTTAGGGCATGAAACTCTTCCATGCTCTTTGGCAAAAGTCAGTGCTATCAGGGATGTGCAAAAAAACCCCCAGAACTTGAAACAGATCATGTAACACAGATTCTCTGGTGTAGCAAAGTCTACGGGCACATAGGACTAGCACACACAAGGCTAAGATGTTCCAGCTGCCTCCACAGCATGACATGTCATTCAGTTTGTTACCCAAAGATGCACAGTCTTCACAAAAACTCCTCCTTACTGAGAGATTCTAAAGTGTCGCAGCAGATAGATATCTAAAATTAATTTTTGGTATTCACTTAAGTGATAGATAAATATCAGAGAGAAGTAGGAAAGACAGCCCCACTTTTTTATTAATTTTGAAGTCAAATCTGTATTGTATTCTCAATATTGGTTTTTCAGAGCAACAAAAAAGTGTTAAAGACACATGAAGGCAAATGCATTTTCACAATAATTATCAGAAAGCATGCCAGTGCCTCTGATGTGTTGCTAATTTTGTTTAAACCTCTTTGTTTAGTTCATCAAAATCAGGAAGCTCTGGAAAACCTAAGTCAGATGAAAAGGATGTACAAAAGCTCAAGAAGATGGAAAAAGAAGAGAAAGAATTCAGAAAAAAGTTCAAAGTAAGTTTTGTTCAAAGTGTTTTCTTCACATAAAATATAAAAACAAAGTATCTGCATGGTGTCTTCTAGTTTGTTCCCTATAACTTGATTTTGAAAGGTAAAGTATTACCACATGTAAAAATAGTGATCTGATCATCTCTAAGTCCAGATGGCAAGTATGGGCACATACACATATTGTAACATATACAAATATTTGTTAATTTCCAAAAATTTAGTAATAAATGGGAATATTAATGTAAAAACATTAATGGGTTTTAACTATGGTTTGGGAATTTTTTTTCTTCTTTTCAGTTTGACGGTGAAATAAAAGTCATTTACTCTACAACCACAGTCCAGGACTTGTCTCAGAAAAGATGGGGATATAAAGACTTACAAATTAAACCAGGGGAATCTCTTGACATTATTGAAAGTACAGATGATACTAAGGTCCTCTGCAGGAACAAAGAAGGAAAATGTAAGTTTTGTTAAAAAACTGTAGTACCTATCAAATTGTCAGAGAATGGTTGATTAGGATATGTAAAACCTCTCTTCCCTCGTTTACTGAGGTTTACCTTGCCTGGTTGTTGAAAAGAGGCAGATTGTTGTTATCTTATTACTGTGTTTTAATACTGGCTTGCCCTTTAAAAATCCAAAATACTTCTAATGGACAAGATAAACTAATTATTAGAAAAAAATAACATTTTTTCGGTAAAGTTTTTCTTTGCAGCTAGGATCAGCAGATGTTTCTGTTGCTCTGTCTCTCCCCCTTTGCCAAAAGGAGTATAGCTATGATAGCCCACTGAGTTTAGTAAAAGTAAAACCCTTACTGCACCTCTGGATAGCACTAGCCCATTGATTGCAGACAGTAGAAAATCAATAACAATATTCTTACTTTGAATTGCAAGAAATACAGTTTCATCTTTTCAACAGGCTGGGGGGAACATTGCTTAGGAGTCTTCCCCCCAGCTCCCAGCTAATCCAAGGCATATGTCCTTGCTGGCATGTCTGCTTTTTCTGGGAGCGGCACGAGGCCTTTCACTGTTTCTTTGAAATCCTTGGCCAGGACTGGCAGAAATTTTTGAACTTTTGGAGAAGTCCAAAACCATTTCTTGATGGTTTCAATTTCTTAATGAGCTTCTGTTACAACACTTTCCAAACCTCCTAGTGAAAAATTACTTTGTGCTGGAACAGCCTACTTTCAAAGTAGCAGCATCCTCCTGCTCACCTTTCCTTTTTACCTCTGACCTATGTAGAAGACAGTCCAATGCTATAAACCCCTGAAGGGGATTCAGCCACCTTCCTTTTATTTTTTCCTTCCTGTACTCAACTGTTACAGTCTGGAGCACAGCCTTCTTCCTGGCAGGCCTGCAGGGTGAGGAAGAATTTCTTGCATAACCACACATATGTTTTTCAAAATATGGATTGCACTAGTAGAGGCACTTCCCAAAAAAAACAGCTTTCAAAGCCACATTTTTTGAATCAAGCTAATAACAAAGTAGAAAGTAGTTCATGTTGGCTGTTTTCCTCTCGTAGTCTTCAAAGCCTTTCAAATAATGACAGGAGCTACTGCTTTGCTATGCATAAAAGAGCAAAACAAATAAAAATATCCTCCCTGAAAGCCTCTGAATAGATCCCAGTCAATTTACACATTAGTTAGAGAAGTCTGAATCCTACTTCAGTTAAATGCATCAGTTTTGTTTATTTTCTCTAGCTGTTCCTATTTCCTCAGATCTTAAAGCTGTGATTTTACCTTCTGATGGCCAGGTAGACGGAAAATCCACAACTAAAGATGGTTTTGTTATTTTCTTGCACATGAATTCTTTGATTTAATCATTAACTTATGAAGCACTTCCATAGTTTCAAGCCTCTATCAACAGTTAAACAAAACCACAAATTATATTTCAATGTGTTCTCACCTTTTTAAGCTAGGGCTCATGATCTCAGGAACACGTTCTGCTATGGCTTATTTTAAATGTTATGAAATTATTTGAAATGTCAAAAGTGAAACAAGGAACTGATTTTCATCTATCATCTCAAATTCCTTCTTGGTCTGAACACACACATTTCAAAATATACAAAAGCTTTCAATTCAGCTTTGTAGATTTTGCTTAATCTGTAGGATATAAGTGGACTTCAGTGGCCCAAAGTTTAAGGTTTGACCTCTCTGAGCTTCCTTTACTTTGTCAGTGAGCAGCTGGCACAATGTGTTCTAGCTTTCAGTGGTTGCTAAGTAATCAGCATGGAGTGTGCTGACCTGTTGGCTTCTTCCTTATTTGCAAGCACCATAAAAATTAATAAATTATTTAGAAACTGAAACCTTGGACATGTAACTTTAAATTAGTAAATCTGAAAGAGTGTGAGACCAGTAGGGGTTGTATCCCCCACATATTTAAGGGCTAGGAATCATCAGAAGAACCTAGATAATGCTTTGTAATGGTAGAAGCACTGTCACATGCACATAACTTCCAAGAACACCGTGTTTGTATGCCATGGCTATGAGCAAAGAAACTTTGCTTTCATTTGAGAACATTATATGAACAAGCAGAGAAGCTTAGATTAGCCAAATGATTTTAAATATTTCCTGGAGACTTCAGGAGTCATGGAAATTATTGGAGTGCCCTAAAAAGAATTTTGAAAAGACAATATCTTTTAAAAATAAAATTCAAAAAATCAATTTCCATGTCTTTATTCCAGAAAATTAAAACTGGGGAAAGATAACTGACCTAAGATATCCTGAATAGATACTCCTAATGATTAAAATAAGGAAATTTACACAGTAATTTCAAATACAAGATCATATTTATTCTTGAGAACCCTCCTAATTTCATACCAGCTTGCTAGTGCTTCCCTACAAACACGTACTTGCTGTTATGGCTCTCCCTTTGTATTCGTTTTACCAGTTGACAAGTATTTCAGCAGATATGTTTCACCAAAGACAGGAAGTAATTTTCTTAAGGAAACTATATGCATTAAAAAAGAATATGTGTAGTTTTATCTGATTTCATTAGTACACCACAGCATATGAACTAATACAGCGATGCACCACAGTGACGGAATAATAATCAGCAGCTTTTCTAAGGTATTGCCATTATTATATCCATTATTGGTCTTATTAATGTTACAGTTAAAATTTTAAACAGTTACATGTTGTAAATTGTTTAATTGGTGTACACATCCTAAAATACATTTTTGTCCCTGTATGGAACTTTAAATATTCCTGTTACCTAGTATTACCACAAATATTATCATGTTGTTTTTATTATACTGTATTTTTGTGACATTGTTTGTGAACTGAACTATATTTTTTGTTAATAATTGTTGTTTCACACCCCTCTCATGCAACCAGGAAACTGAAATACACAATATAACCTAATCTTGCATACCTATATTACCGTTTAAGTAGGCAAATAAGAATAAGCAAAACATTGCATATAGCAAAATCTTCATCAGCTAGATGTCCATTGTACATTGTTTTCCATCTATTATGTCTTTCATCTGAAGTGTATAAAAAACTGCATTTCATTAGTGCTAGTAACAGAAATAATGATGAGTATTTCAATTTAACTTAAATACATCTATATTTCACTTTTACAGATGGCTATGTTCTGAGAAGCAATTTAGTTCAGAAGTAAGTATAAAGTGATCACTTTGAAAAAATTTGTTGTAACACTTCATTTTGTTCTAAATGGTCTGGTGAAAAAAAAAAAAAGTGGAATGTAATTATTTTAGTCTGTCATTCTAAACTTGCAAATTGAGTTATTTTTAAGGAGTTAGGATTTGTCAAAAATCAATCACATACATCCATGCAGGAAATTTGCCAGAGCTTCATTCCTCATTGCTTAACCATAAACTCTGGTTAAAGCATGAAAAATCACATAAATTAAGCATCATTGGTACTAAACTATTACTGAACAGCAAGTTGATGTTATTAGGTGTATTGAAGCCTTTTTCAAATATTTAACTAAAATGGACCAAATTTTCTTTAGGTTTGTTTATACTTCAGTGTTAGCAGGATAGAGATTTGGCTCAGTGTTGCTCCACGTAATTGCATGAAGCTCAGCATTTTGGTTCTAATCCAAAACTCTTGTCAGACAAAGCGTCTCTATTTCCTTCAAGAGGTTTTTTATATTAGACCCTTAAATATCAAATCAGATGTCACTTTTAGGGTTGTCACATTTAGAATTTAGAGGCATTTAACACACATATGTTTGAATTATATATATAAACAGTCTTACTGTCTTCCATGGGCCTGTGCATGTATCTAAGTCACATGTTTGAAAATTACTGTTCATGGAGCATATATCTTTTATAGACATTACCTAAATTCATTACCTAAAACGTAGCGCCTCCAAAACTATTATGCAATTGCTGAGAAACAAAATTAATTTCAAGGGCATACTGATTGTGTTTTTTAATTCAATTTTTCTCTGATCAATTTTTTTTTAAAAATTGAGTATTTAACTTCTTTTTGAAAATAACTCTATGAGAATATCTATGTAGAAATGTAATAAATGAAATAGACTTTTAATAAAGCAACCCTTTCACGTTATAAAGAAATGTATCCAAGTCTACCCTTCCCTGAAAATACTTTGACTTCATCATCTTGCCTAACATTGTTGTTACCCCAAAGGTGGTATTTTCCTAATTAGCAAGTTAATTATTTGATAGACTGCCTGCACCATACTGCTACTGTATTTTTTAATACATTTCTGATGTCTCAACTTTTAATATATTATTTGTCTTTTTTGACTTACAGTGATGGAGAGATTTATGATGATATTGGTGAGGGTATGTAGAACATTTGGAACAATACTTCATTTATATTTAATTACAATAAATATATCTTTGTGTTGAAGTACTACACAATATTAATAGTTTTGCATTTTATTTCCATTTCAGATTGTATCTATGATAACGACTCTGATGCTGAATTCCCTTGAAATAACAACTTCCTTGAAGATCAAACTCTGGTTTGGAAACCCACTTATGAAAGCAAGAAGAGTCATAAATGCTGATTGCAAGTTAATTGGTTGCTCTTTTAAATGTACAATTAACCTTTTTTGGGATTTCAGCCTTTTGTCCTCCAGTGCGTTGTACAAATTTGTATTCCCATTTACCTGAACATTTAAAATTCACGGAATATGAACTAAAGTTAGGGTTATAATTTTTCACTTCCTTTCCACGTTTCTGACCGTCCATGTAAAAACACTTCAATCATCTACTTCCAAAGAGGCCATATCACATCTGCCATTCCAACTGCAATAGTGTTAGCTACACTGACATATGCAGCCATGTTCCATTAGTGCAAAAGTCTCTTTTTTTGTATTGTATTAATGATAGAATATAATTCTGTAAAATTTATCTGAAGTCTACTTTAAAATATAGTATTCTACTTTATACAGTTATGGTCCTCAAAATATACTTAGGACATTTAGGTTAAGATTTAATTTCTATTTAAAGATAAGTCACTATGTCAGTATAGTAATACAGGTTTTATAAGCTATAAACTGATGATAAACTGTTTGGAAATTACTTATAGAATAAATATATTGGTATATTTATCACTCTATTTTGATATTGCCCTTTTTTGCAAAGTGCTATAGTTTAATACTAGATTTGAAAAGAGTACAGAAATCAAACATTTCCATGCTTATCCATTGTAGAAATAACATTTATTCCTAGAGTTCATTTTTGATGCTGTTGTCTGAATGACCAAGTTGCAAATAAAAGCAAAGTCAACAGGTAACTCATAATAATAAATATCACTTTACCCTTATATATCAGAAGTTACTGGAAATCAAAAGACATTTACAGTAATTTCCCAATAAAGGGGGTGAGGATGTGCAAAAAATGAAACTTCAGTTGCTTTTGCTGTAGTGCAAGTTAATCAAAAACCCGTAACTAATGTGGCTGTCTCAGTGTGAGCAGCTCCGTTTGATGATTGAGTCTCCTGTAATCCCAAAGGGAAGTCAGGTACATTGTGCAACACAGCAAGTTTAGTTTATAAACATAAAAAATGTTGTCTCTGTTAAGTCAGTGACTTTTGGTCCCACCTTCAGTGGAGCTGAGATTCTATCTTATAAGTGTCTTTTATTGCTGCTTCAAAATACAGTAAATCTCAAAGGAGGTATAATGCAGTGGGGATATCAAACATAAAATTAAGAGATAGTAGCCTATAAGCTATTTTGTACTGTATGTAAAGTGACTCATAGTATACTGAAAATCTATATGCAAACTCAACTTTCTATTTGCTATTTCTCTTATCTATTTGCTATTCAACCAGCATCAAATACCAATTTTATGTGTAAACATCAGCAGCAGCACCCAAATATAAAACATGACCATGCATATTAAGTGCGATGAATATGTCTGACTACTTGACTGTCACTGCTAATGAATTACTTATTTTTCAGTGGCATTCAAGAGGCTGTCTGCATTAAATTAGTGATATGCCAAAGAACTGAGTGAGCATCCAGGCAACTACACAACTACATAGTTTTTCCATGTTCTTAGTGTTCATGTGTGTAGGCACTGCAATTCTGTATCAATAATACTGACTAAATTTGCCATCTGATACATTAAATAATGAAAAATAATACATATATTAATGTCTAAAACTCTATGCATTGCTTGTTCAAATCAAATATTATGTGATTGCTGCAGGGTGTTAAAATGAATTTGTAAGTTATCACTAAGTGAAAAACTACTGGGATTGTAACTTTTCACTTTTACCAATGTGGGATGCTTTTTTATATTTCTTCCGAATAAAAGTATTTCTTCTGAATAAATTTTTAAAAAAAAAAAAAAAAAAAGAAATGTGGGTACATTTGTCAAAATAGAACAGCAGCTGAACAGTAACTTCTAAAAATTATCACTGAGCAGCTAACAGAGTGAAAATCAACTTTATTATTGCTGCAAAGGCTGCACAAATGCAACTTGGCATTTGTTAGTATTTGCTACCCAGAAAGTGAAATGTAAGCAGAAAATCTTCCAGACAGGAAAATCTATACTTAGGCAGTCTATATTCTAAGAGTTTCTCACCTGTAATTTATTCTACTATCTTTTAAAAGACATAAAGAAAGAAAAGGAAAGCTTTTGATATTTTTCCACCTCTGAATTCAGTCTATAATCCTGCAGTATTTGGCTGTGCCTGCTAAAACAGTCAGCAGTGAAAACATCAAAATATTGACACAAAAATTAGGTTTCAGCATGAATATCCTAGTTAGGGTAAACAGAGCTGGTTTCTATCTGTGTTGTACCTCTGAGCTGTCCCAGTAAACAGGCTAAGCAAAACCAAAACTGGGAGGGCAAAAAAGACTTCTCTAATTCAGTAGCTTTATAACATTTCTCTGCTGTTACCACAGGCTCTGGACTGAAGGAATGCAGCTGATCTCCTGCACATTCCTGTGTAAGAGGTTTATATTCTCCATCCACATAATTGCAGATCCCCTGGCTACCCCTCCCAAAGTCGTAACAAAATTTCTTCTATGTGTGATCCCTTTGTATAATCCACTCTCAATGGTAAAGCTCAGTACTTTACTAAGAGCAAGGAAACTCAGGGGTGGAATGTAGATTCTCTGTGTGAATTATAACACCCCTTACCACTACATTACTCTGCAGCAGACACTGTTGTAAGCATATGTGTGCACAGGGACGTGTGCATCTGTTGTGTGTGAGTATACTTAATGTATATATTAAGGCAAAGTCTGTGAAAACTCAAAATTGGACCCATAAAAATGTACCTTTATGGTTTCTGTACAGCAGCCCCAGACCATCCTGCATGGAGAAGCTTTTGCATGTAGTGAAAACAACTCAAATGGTAGGAGAGTCGATAGATGTGCTTGTATTTGCACAGCTTCTGTTCTGACTCCTCGTGTGGATTCATCATTAACTGTGTGCGCAGTCTATAATTACATGATGGCTCAGTATTTTTTTCCACAGGATCCCCACCTCATTTAGTCCATGGGCTGGATGAGAACCAATAGAAAGGGCAGTTGTTCAACCCTGCTCATTCAGTTTCTGGCCACTCCTTCACTTAGTGCAAATCTTTCCAAGCTTATGCTGCACCCAGAATTATTAGTTTCTCATGGCATTCATCACAATGATATCTCACATTTCCTTGAATAGGAATGGATTTATCTTGTGAGAAAGGAAAACATTTTATCCCCATTTTAATGTATGAAAGGAAGGCACAAACAGAGAACAATTTGTGGCACATATCCATTAATCCTGGATACAAAACCAAACCACTCAAGCTAAATTTATTTTTTTTTTGTACTTTCCTATATTAGGACTCTCACTATTTTATCTTCTTCTTCTTTGCCTCTGCTTATGGTTAAATACAAAGATAAGAGAGACAACATCTTGTGTTTAAATAGTATTAGCAGACAAAATTTATACTGTAAATAGAATCACAGAATCTCCAAATGTCTCTTGAGTTCTGGCAGGCTTGGTGCTGTGACCACTTCCCTGGGGAGCTTGTTCCAGTGCTCAAACAACCTCCCTGTGAAGAAGCTTTTCGTAACATTTAAATCTCTCTTGATTTAAATGAGACCACTTCATCAGGTTCTGTCACTGTCACCACAGAGAAGACATCAGGGTCTGCCCCTTCGCTTCCCCTCACGAGGAAGCTGTATCTCCAATGAGGTTTCCCTTCAGTCTCCTCTTGTCCTAGCTGAACAGATCAAGTGCCCTCAGCCATTCCTCACAGGGCTTCCTCTCCAGACACTTGGGACCATCCTCATGGCCCTCCTTTGGACACTCTCTAATAGTTTAAAATCTCTTTTTTATTGTGGCACCCAAAAGTGCCCCCAGCACTTGAGGTGAGGCCGCCCCAGTGCAGAGCAGAGCAGGACAATCCCCTTCCTTGCCTGGCTGGTGATGCTGTCCCTGATGCCCCCAAGACAGGGTTGGCCCTGCTGGCTGCCAGGGCACTGCTGGCTCGTGTTCAACTTGCCATTGACCAGGACCCCTTTCTGCAGTGCTGCTTTCCAGTGCCTCATTCCTCAGCTTGTCCATATACCCAGGGTTGCCCATTCCCAGGTACAGAATCCTCTCTGCTTTAGAGGGAGCTAACAGCTCCTTACAGTTTTGTAACATCTGTGAAATTGCTCAGTATCCATCCAGTCCTCCGTCCACATCATTTCTGAAGACGTTGAGGAGCACAGGGCTGAGGATGGAGCCCTGTGGAACCCACCAGTGACAGGCCACCAGTTTGGTGTCACCCCAGTCACTGTAACCCTTTGTGTCCCACCCACGAGCCAGCTGTTCACACATCACAGAAAGTGTTTGTCCAACTGTGGGCTGGACATTTTGTCCAGAAGGATCCTGTGAGAGTATAAAAAGCTTTGCTGAAATCCAAAAAGATTATATCAACTGGATTCTCTTGGTCAACAAGATGGGTTACGTTGTCATAAAAGGAAATCAGATTTGAACTATCAATGAACAGTAATAAAAAGGTAAGTATATAGGAATAGCAATTAAAATTTAACGTAAATAATAGGTTAGACTATATTGTGAAACTTAATAAAAAGTGAGGACTAATAGTAGAATTTAGTGGTCCACACTATTACACTTTATATAATTTGCTGTCTTGCAGCTCCCATGTTGATAGGCAGTTTGTTGGTATGGTTTTATGGTTATATGATGTCTATGGCTCTCACCAGAATTAAACCTTTATGTGTATATGGTCTGGATAGATATGAGGCTGAGACATCTAAACCAGTTCTGAAAGACCCAGCCTATCTATCAGAAGCAATTCACTCAGGATAGCAGCATAACCCTACAAGCCCTCCAACTTGATTGCTTTGCCTGGCTAAGAAATAAGGAGGTAGTGCAGATGAAGGGTCATCATGAGCAATTTCCAGAACCCCAGCCACTTGGGAATCATTTCAGTGCCACTCTGATTAGCCATGGTACTGCAGAACATCACCATGTTCTAACCTTGTGCTAAGCAGCAGTGTGGCAGCCCCTGGTCCCCTGGGTGCAGCAAAATACAATGATCTCACAATTTTCCTTCTCTGTGTTTCATTCTAGATAGATGACTCCTGAACATACATAGAATTTAGTAAATCATTTTTATTTCCCTCTTTTGACAGCATTTTGAGAGAGAAGATTAAGACGTTAATAAATGTATAAAGTTTCCTGATGGAGGCTTTTTATATTGAGGACCTTGCTACAAAGAATATGGGAAACTGTGTACCTTTTCTCTTAATACACAAACACATAAATATCACTTGAATTTAAAATATTCACCACTAGTAAGAAAGTAAGTATGCAAAATATCAACACAAACATGAATGAAATGCGAATTAGATGGATACCAAGGGTTTTAAGAAATATTATACGATTTGCATTACTTCAGTAATATCACTAAATCCTACTGCTCAGGCATCATGAGACAGACAAAGAAAGGAAAAATTAGCATGGCTTTTTTTCACTGCTTTTTTAAAACTTTTTTTCTTTGGCCTAATTCCTGATTTTCAAGTTCTTAACAGGAAAAGCTGCCTGATCCTTCATTTATGTGTGGGTGTGCTTCAGGTGAAAAATGTACACAAAACACAGACACACAATACGGGGTTCTCATCCATTTTTGCTGCTGACAGAAGGGACACACTGCCAAGCTCCTGTCCCTTCTCCTGCGTCTCAGCTTCTTCCATGTTCTCCTGCCTTGGACAATGTTGCCACACACCTTCCAGCTAACACAGGTAAGCCCAGTTTCTTCTTCTGTATTGACCCAAAGAAATTCTATATTTTGTTGTCATTACCTCCTTTCACCACCTGAGATGTTCTCTGTACTTTTGTGACTCAATTACTTCCCGTTCCCCGTAATTATTCCTCTTTTCCTTGACCGTCTGACCACGGCATTCTGCTCTTTGCTTTTCTGCTTCCTTGTTCCTTTCTCTTTTCATCCTTTTAAACTGTTCCCCTACTTCTGCATTCCTGCCCCTAGCACTTTCATTTTTACGCCATTTTTAAAAGCTGCTCTGTTAAAATGCCCCCTTTTTTTTTTTTTTTTTTGGCTCAAGATTCCTAACTCTGTGGGGGACACCTGCAGAGGTTTAATGACTCAACAGGCACTGAGAAGACTTATAATTCTTGTATTTTGAGTTCTAGGCTGTTTATCCCACAGCATTTAAAATCAGGTCAAACATCTTTTCCTCTGCACATAGTATTTGGGGGAGTTTTGCTTTAGTACTCAAGTTGGATGTTATATGTAACTCAATCTTACAACTGCCAGTCTAAACTTAAAAAAAAAAAAAATTAAAAAATTTATATCCCATCCCTTTTTTCTGCTTCTGTATTCATAGCAAGCTACATGCTACTGGCCATGTAAGAGACTGAAGCATGTTCTAATGGCCATCACCGGCTGCTGAGTCTCCAATATCCAAATATTTCAGTATGGATACCATGATACATAATAGCATTGCTATAAAATGTTAACCAGTGTTTGTCAGCCAGTGCCCAAAGAAGATATTAATGGGCTTCTTCAGTTTTTAAGAAAAGACTATGAGTAACAAAAAATAGTTTCTGCTTCCATATAGATTTTGTATCAGTAGATGATAAATTATCCTTACATAGAGCTTCAGCACTACTACTGGAGTTTATTTGGACAGAAACAGCAGCTGTGTTTTGTTAAAGTTTTTTACTCAGGTGTAATTATTATGCCAACCATACACAAACTAAACACCTGCTGCTTTTCACAGCTTCAATAGGATTATACATCTGTGGAATGCTGGGAAAAATCTTACATGAA